TAAAAATCACCTTCCACAATGTCAATCTCTGCTTGAACAAATCTGCGCAGGTCCCCGCCTCGTTCTTCTGCGGCCCCTTTCTTACCTACCTTCCTACCATTCCCTCTTGGTGGAGCAAAGTCCCAAAACCTTTCCTATCTTGGTTGCTGCTCCGCTCTCCCCTCACTCCCCCACCTGATCTATGTCTTGTTATCTCTCCGAAAATAAAGGAAGCAGAAATAAATACAATAATTGTGGGGACCCAAATAAGCACTGGTGGAAGAGCGCTACCATTTCCTTCATCATGTGTTGTTTGTCTCCTAATGCAGTTTAAGATAATATGCAGGTATTTGAAAAAACGGAATTAAGTGATAAGTTTAGTTTGGCACAAAATTTTTGAAGTCCATATTTTTATACTATATGCATGTCCATGCCTTTTAAAAAGATTTATTTATTTTTATTGGAGAGGTAGATGTATAGAGAGGCAAAGAGACAGAGAGGAAGATCTGTCCAATGATTCACTCCCCAAGTGGCCACACCACATCCAGACCTGCGCTGATCCGAAGCCAGGAGCCAGAAGCCTCTTAAGAGTCTCCCACACGGGTGCAGGATCCCAAAGCTTTGGGCAGTCCTTGACTGCTTTCCCAGGCCACAAGCAGGGAGCTAAATGGGAAACAGGGCCACCGTGACATGAACCAGTGCCCATATGGAATCCTGGCGCATTCAAGGCGAGGGCTTTAGCTGCTAGGCTACCGCCTGGACCCTCCATGCCTTTTTAAAAGATCTTCTTATTGTGGTTACTTAGGGGATATGGGATATGATGTGCCTCCGTCACAGAGAGCATTCCCATAGATGATGTTGTCGATGCACATGCATTTAGGTGACTCTTCAGTATCTTCATATAAGCTACATCCAAATTGTCTTACTCTAATTTTACAGTTGCACATTTGGCCTTTTAAAGCACACAGGAGGAATTATTCCTATCAGACCTATCTGTTATTTCAGTTTGATCAAGGTCATTTGCCGTTACTGCTACAGAACGCTGATAGTTGCTCTCAGATTTATGAAGTCTACAACTTGCTCTGTAGGAACTCTAAATGCTCACAAACCATCCAAGGAAGTGTTCAGGACCAGTACCTGTAACTTAGAGCATGTGTCTTCGTCCTTTTATGCAGCACTGCTTTCCACAATTCCATGCAGATTGCCTGACTAACTGGTGATCCATCTTAGCTGCAAAAGTCTCAGCTCAAAAATGGGTGAACAGTAATTTTTCTAACAGCAGCAAAACTCAGATGACTTGACCTTCCTCAGTCACCTAATACTCTCTCTTTCTTATTCCTAACTTGGACATTCTCACATACCATTCTTCCCTCAATTTTTAAGACTGACTTTGAGTACAGCTTTTCAAAAAATATTTAAGATTTACTTTTTAATTTTTTTATTGGAATGACAGATATACATAGAGAAGGAGATAGAGAGAAAAACATCTTCCATCACTGGTTCAGTCCCCAAGTGGCCGCCATGGCTGGAGCTAAGCCAATCCGAAGCCAGGAGCCAGGAGCCAGGTCTCCCTGGTGGATGCAGGGTGCCAAGGCTTTGGACCATCCTCTATTGCCCTGCCAGGCCACAAGCAGCGCTGCATGGGAAGTGGAAGAGCCGGGATACGAAGTGAAAAGGGTGAATCATCACTAGGATTCCTTGCTTACGGCAAGTTTTTCACTTGCAGACACCGTGTTGGCTTAGACATATCAACTGAAAGTCAGTTTCCATCATGTAAAAGAGTTGCCAAGCCATTATAAAAGATTTTCTGTCTCCTCTAGAGCTACACATTTTTGCACCACCCCATAGTTACAAAAGCTTTCCTGAGAATACAGAGACACACACTGTAGTTAGGAAAAGCAGTAGCATATACAGCAATGTGTCAACAGCTGTGACATACAGGCAGAAAGACCAAACGAAGACAGAAAATGTGCAGGAAGAATAGCACTGGAAACATTCAGTAGGTGGGGCTGCCAAGGGCCAGAGTGGCACAGCTGACATCTCTCTCCACGGCAGGAAATGAAAGAGGGAAACTGTATAAGGGCATTTCCAAAAGTTCAAGGAAAATGGAATTAAGAGTTCATCTTATTTCGATGCAAAAAAGAAAAATGTTTGAAGTTCAGACATTTAAAGGGTTTTCAAGATGTTCGTGGAAAATGCATAATCATGAGATGCGATTTTTTTTGCACCTATACTTTAAATCCATTTCCCGCAAACTTTGTCAGAGGGCCTTATATATTGTCAAATCCCAAGCAGGATTCTTTAATCCAAAAGTGAACTCATACTATATTTATACTGAAGGAGTATACATGCAACACCTTCAGCTTCCCAGTGTGCTATATGAACTCACAGTATCTTCCCGGAGAAATCACAGCTAGGTTTCAAACAAGCAACACAGCTGAAATCAGTTTCCATGCTGGAACATTATATTGGTTATGGTATATTATTTTCATTATAAGAAATGATAATACAGGAAATTATTTCACAAAAAGCAAGGAATCTATTCACTTACAGAGGGGATGACAAAAACATTTTTAAAGATTTATTCATTTTTGTTGTAAAGTCAGATATACAGAGAGGAAGAGAGACAGAGAGGAAGATCTTTCGTCCACTGATTCACTCCCCAAGTGACTGCTATGGCTGAAGCTGGAGCTGATTCAAAGCCAGGAGCCTGAAGCCTCTTTCAGGTCTGCCATGCTGGTGCAGGGTCCCACAGTTTTGGGCAATCCTCTACTGCTTTCCCAGGTCACAAGCAAAAGGCTGACTAGAAAGTGGGGCCGTTGGGACATGAACCAGTGCCCACATGGGATCCCCGTATGTGCAAAGTGAGGACTTTGGCCACTAGTCTACCATGCCAGAGCCAGGAATGACAAAATCTAAAGAAGAAAGGAGAAGACTGGAAAACTCCTTCTCCTCAGAACCACCAACCACAGCAGCTCTGTGAACCACAGTAGCAGTTCCTGCTCCAGAGGACCCACTTGGACCCAAAGGACAGATTGCAAATCAGAGGCAAGACATTCAAAATAGGCCAGTGCAGAATCCAAAAGGACAGCTATTGCAGTAACAGCATCTATGCCCCTAAACAAAAAGATTAACAAAATGTATTGAAAACTTCCCCCATGAGTACTGGAGTTGCAAGAAGAATGCCAAGGTTTAATTATTTCTCTGACCCAGTTCCACACAGAAGGGCAGGCTGTGGTAAGCAGTTATCCCTCAGTATATGTGGTGGGGCTACTTCCAGGATTACCCATCCACAGTCACATCCATGGATGCTCAAGTCCCTTATATAAAATAGTGCAGCAATGGCACAGAGCCTGTGCAGCCTTCCCATATCTATATTTTTATGATATCTAAATACAGTGTCAGTGATTCAGTGATTAGAATGAATTGTTTCTGGAATGTTGACAAGGATAAAACAGGCCATACTTGTTCAGTAAAGACACATTTTAAACATTTTCATCTGTGATAGGTTGAATCGATGGATATGGAATGATGACTATATGTTTAGAACTTAGAAACAAAATGAAACATTAATATACATGTATGGAACTTCCTCTCATAGCACGCAATTCATCATGGGTGGAGCTTTAACCTGCATGAAGGAAGGACACTTGAGTGTCCCAATGTTACTTCTTTCTCCACCCAGAGAGTATTAATGTAGAAACACCATCACAACTTCTAGTGGGAGTCTTCTCCAGGTTTTGATTGTTGCACAACTTACAAGTCTTTCCAGTGACTAGCCTCATATTTAAATTACACAATAACGGCTTGGAGCAGTAGTCTCATGGCTAAAGTCTTTGCCTTGCATGCACCAAGGATCCCATATGGGTACCAGTTCATGTCCTGGCAGTCCCAGTTCCCATCCAGCTCTCTGCTTGTGGCCTGGGAAAGCAGTCGAGAATGGCCCAAAGCCTTGGGACCCTGCACCCAAGTGGGAGACCTGGAAGAGGCTCCTGGCTCCTGGCTTCAGATAGGCACAGCTCTGGCCACTGTAGCCACTTGGGGAGTGAATCACTGGGCGGAAAATCTTCCTCTCTAACTCTTCTCCTCTCTGTATATCCGACTTTCCAATAAAAATAAAGTAAATCATTAAAAAAAATAAAATAAATTACACAATAAGTTTAGTACAACGAGTCACAATGAGGTTTAGCACAATAGGTCTAACACAAGCACCTAAAGAATGCATGAACCCCAACTCACCAGTTTTATTGAGGGGTTCCAAGCTACTGGCCAACAGTGCCTCCATTAAAAAGTCATCAAATAAAACATGGCTGAGGTCCCAGAATGGTAGCCTAGCGTCTAAAGTCCTCATCTTGCACGTGCCAATATCTCATATGAGTGTCAGTTTGTATTCCGGCAGCCCACTTCCCATCCAGCTCCCTCCCTGTGGCCTGGGAAAGCAGTCAAGCACGGCCCAAAGCCTTGGGACCTTCACCTGCGTCAGAGACCCAGAGGAGGCTCCAGGTTCCTTGCTTCATATTGGCTCAGCTCCAGCGGTTGTGGCCACTTGGAGAGTAAATCATCGGATGGAAAATCTTTCTGTTTGTCTCTTCTCCTCTGGGTATATCTGACTTTGCAATAAAAATTAAAATAAATCTTTAAAAAATAAAAAAAAAAACATGGCTGAAAGCTATCCCTAGTGTAGACTATTGTTCCAAAGTCCCTGTGAGTTACAAGCATATTGACCATGAACTAAGGGATCTGAGGACGAGGGCAGACCCATTAAAGGAGAACATGTCTGTGAATATCATGGACTGTTTCTTCGATGAATCACGTAGAAATTCGGAGGAAGGGCTCAATTAGGAATAGGAAGAAGAGGTGGAGACAAGCTGAGTGATACCAAGCCTAGAATTCTATTGTTCTCAGGCTATAAGAAAATTCTGTTTGCACACAGAATACGCCCAGAGGTGGCACAGGCGTGTGAGTCAGTGGGCGAACCCAGTACTTCCATGACAATTAGTCAGACATTCCCATACACTCACCAGCACACTTGGTTCTTGTCCTGAGAGCTGGTCCAGGAGAGCCAGTGCCACCTTCCCCTGGCCTGGTGAGGAGTACACTGATTTCATATTCTGTGTCTGGATCAAGGTGCCCAATTTTATAACTGGTGGAATCCACAGGCTGCCGGTCATTCCAGCTCCCACTGGCTGTGCAGTACTCCACCTCACGGGCCACGATGGGCCCGTCTCCGTTGATGGAGTTGGCATTGAGCTGGATCCACAGGTAGGTCGCTCCCACGGAGGCCAGCTGGGGTGGAGCGATGGGAACAGGTGGCTCTGAAAGGCAGAACAGAGTGTCATCCCTCAGATGTCTTCAGTTCAAACAACTAAAACAGCACCAGCTACTAAAATTTGGGAAATGAATTGATGAAAACCTTTCATTCAGGATAACAAGAGAAGGCGTAATGATGAATGTCCTCACAACGTCAAAGTCATGAAACAAAATATCTTTAAAATCCTAATTTGTTCAGGTAAGTGTATCCCACTCCCCTAAAAATCTGAGATACCACATCTGTTCAGATAGCTGCTACACAGGTATCAAAAGACTTTTACTCTTCTGCATCGAAAGTAACTGGTGGAACTGTCATTGCCTGACTAATAGACTCTTGGAAGCATAATATTGTCAACCTCCTCATCAGGAATGCCCATGAAATCATCAGAGGTTCTCAACATCATTAAATTGAATTTATTTGTATTTATATTCCAAAATATTACCACATTCCAACAAAGTAGAAGTTATAGCTTTTCTCATCATAAATGCATTTCTACAATGACTCATTTCCCCCAGAATTCCCACCATGGACTCACACAGCTACTAGAGACAGGTATTCTTGATAATGAAATCCACTGAAGCTATAGTTCAGGGAACTTTCAGGAATGAGTCCTAATAAAGCACCGAATATAAATGAAAGATGTGAAGCAAAGAAAAAACTGTGGACAGCTAAATAAAGCTCAGAAATCAGTAGAAATACACCTTAGAACCTAAGAAAGCCCCCTTCCGTGTTTACACCCTAAGATGGATTCTCATTCCATATGCCTGACAGACAACGTTTCCGTGAACAATATTCCTAGTTAGATGCTGCTTAAATGTTTCTCCAAGTACCAAATGAAGGTGCTTCACATGCCAATGTGCTTCTGTATGGTACCACAAATGATAAATGAGATCATAGTACAAAATAACGTTTCTGCCTCAATGACACATCATCACAGAAAAAATAAATTCTCGTGACTTTTTTTAGCTTCCACATGCGATCTCTGCTTTTCCGGCATGCTTTCGGCTCATTCTGTTCATGCAAATGCATGGAAAACAATACCTACTACCCTACTCATGTAATTTCTCTTCATCTACTGTGTGATGGGCACAACTCACTGATCATAGCTGGGATGTATCCTGATCCCAGGATGACTGTCACACTATGACATCAGCAACATCCATTGCTTCGTTGGCTTGGGATGTTTTGGCTGTTTTTATAGTCAAGGAGTGAGCATTCATTTCTACTAGCTTTTTAAAAGAGTTGGAGGAATCTCATTAGACTGAGTAAAAGCAAGACATCAAATTTCGAATGATGTTTATTTAAAAGACTCCAAACATAATGTTATTTCACTAAAATATTGTTCTTACTGTTTGTAAATTAAAACTGTGTGCTGGCTCCATTTCTTTAAACAGTCAGGATTGAACTCCTTTACATTATTAGACGGCTCCTTAGCATAAGGCAGGAGGTGGGCTTTGTTAAGCACATGCTAACGCATGTATGCAGCTGGACTGAAACAGTGCAGCATTTTTAACTTGAAAACACAAGGAAGAGCTGTTGAACTCTGCAACCCAGGGGCAAGCTCACAAAAGGTTGTGTATACATCCACTCACTTCAAATACTATTCCTAGTAACATAAAATAAATACGATCTTAACGTGTTTTATCTTAAGGATATTTTCTGTATCAATTTCACAATAAGAAAAATATTCAGATACTGTTTTCTCAAATCAAATGAAAGATGAAAATCAAGACTGGGAACGACTGGGGCTGACATTTGAAAAGACTTTGAGTTTATATGAAAGTCAGTATGAGGATAGGTCAACGCTTAAACTCTAAAGCAATTTTTCCAAAGGAAATGAGGGGAGAGAAAGCATGGAGAGGGGAGGGTCTTAGCCAATTGAAAGCAATTTAAATTGTTTTCCTTCTTAAAGTATTTTGTTTTTTAACATGGAAGGCAGAGTGCTAGAGAGAGGAAGAGACAGAGTGAGATTTTCTGTCTAATGGTCCACTCTCACAATAGCTGTGCCAGCACCGCACAGCCCAAAGCCAGGAGCCAGGACTCCATCCCAGTCTCTCAGGTGGATGTCGGGGCCCACCTCTGAACCATCTGTTGCTCTCTGAGTCTATTAGGATGGAGCTGGAGCAAAAGCAGGGCAGCCAGGACTCGAACTGATGTTCTGATATGAGCTGCCAGCATTATAACAGGTGGCTTAACACACTGTGCCACAATGCTGGACCATAAAATATTTAAATACCAGGCCCGGTGTGGTGGCCTAGTAGCTAAAGTACTCGCCTTGCGTGAACCCAGGACCACACATGGGCACCAGTTCTAATCCTGGCAGCCCTGCTGCCCATCCAGCTCCCTGCTTGTGGCCTGGAAAAGCAGTTGAGAATGGCCCAAAGTCTTATGACACTGCACCCACATGGGAGATCTGGAAGCAACTCCTGGCTTCCGATCGGTGCAGCTGTTGCGGCTGCTTGAGGAGTGAATCATCGGATGGATGATCTTCCTCTCTGTCTCTCCTCCTATCTGTATATCTGACTTTTCAATAAAAATAAATAAATCTTTTAAAAAAATATTTAAATAGCATGATAATAATTCAACAACAAGCCAGTAATCAAAGAATTTATATACATATGCACATGTAGATATGTCTAATGGATACATGTACGTGATTGTCTGGCATATGTATATCATATAGTCTTATTACCTCACATTTCATTGAACATGGTATTAGTAAAAATACAGTATTTCACATAATTAAGTATGGTATTAGCCTATACACCTATATACATGAATTTTGGTGGTTACATAAAGTATATTTATGCGTTTGGTTACTAAAAACAATGGCAGGCATGAATTCAGATGAGGGAACTCTTACCCAGCTAAGTGACTTAAGTTTTATTGGCAAGAAGAGTATGGCTGGCACAAAACCCATGCCAGAACTCCACAAACCTTAGTTTTTTCCTATTTGAAAACATCAGCACACTAAATATTGCATCTCATATACATCATAAAGTGTTAAATTACAGTAAGTGGCCTTAAGGCATTACTGTATATTTTAAAGTAATTGTCTCAGGATAATAACTGTATTAAAATCCAGCATGCTATCTCACTTTAGAAAACTGTATGTTAGACACAGAGATACACACACAAAATGGCTATAAAATTTCCAATGGAGGAGCAGTAAAATTTCAGATGTAAGCACTAAGTGCAAGAAAATTGCTACTGTTTTAGCAGTGTGCAAAGGACAAAAGTGCTAGATGTTAAAAAACAAGCCAAGATGCAGCCACACTGTCAGAAGACAGCACAGCATGGCACACAGATGTGAAGAACTCATTCCGTGTGTTTTTGTTTGTTCTGATTTATTTATAACTTCCAATAAATTAACTATTCCCCAAAGGCAATCTGGAAGGAACGACTAGATTTGTATCACACTGAGCAAGAAACAGGGTGTTTAATAACATAGGTGTCGGTTGGTCTTAACAAGCAGAAGACAAGGATTCTTGGACAAGTTCATGAAAAATCCGCAACAGAAACAACTACAGGTAGATGGGAACATTTCTTTGCAACATGCTAAAGCTAGCTTCTGATCCCAACGTGCCTGAACTACAGATCAGCAAAGAAAAAATAATCACAATCTTCAATATGGTAGGGTGTGTGTTACTATGAAGAATTTTACTTTTGCCCAACACATTAAATTTAACTGGTCAGCCAGGCCAGTTCAAGGGATACAATCCAAAATGCCCAAGAATCTGATGTGGTAAAATGCATTATTTGAGTAGACACTTTGATGTGTGCTTCCCCATTCTGACTATACGACATTGCTGTAGAGAAGTAATTCTTGAGAATATTAAGCCCAGTGTTTTCTACCCTAAACAATGCTTGCCTAAAACTGGCAGCAGAAGTCAAACTGCCTACAGATTTTATAATGGAAGATATGTTCCCTGCTGATCTGGTTCTATGTAGTAGGGTAGAGACACATAGGCAGAAGAAATAGGCAAGCACATTTAGTTTAAAATCTGGATGGGATTGGGTATTTAGCCCACAGGTTAAGATGCCCAGCCCCCACAGCAGGTATTTCTGGGGTCAGTGTCTGAGTTGAACTCCCGGCTAATGTGGATCCTGGGAGACAGGGATTGTGGTCATGACAGACCTGGACTGAGTCCTGGCTCCTGCCCTTACTCCAGCTGTTGTGCGCAACTGGAGAGTAATCAACAGATGGGAGCTCTGCCTCTCTTGCGTCTTTCTCAAGACCAATCAATCGACAGATCAACTGATCCTGAAGAGTAGCTCTTACATGCACTCCCAAATGAAGAACACCGGTCCACTGGATCAGAGAACAACAAGCGAGACATCTGTCCTCTGGTCTCCTCGTAGGAGACATATGCTAACAACAGAGTCCATATTTGGTTTTACATGCTGCACAGATTGACCTTGCATTGGATCCTCCTGGCAGCTCTGTCAGGTAGCTGCTGTCATCCCTACAGTTCACAGGAGGAAACAAAAGACCTGGTAGAGAAGGCTCATGCACTCAGAGCTGACTCTGGGATTAGAACCCAATGTTAGCCTTTAAAACTGGTTGAAATGAGCTGGAAAAAGGGAAGAGCCCAGTCAAGAGAGATCAATTGCATGTTTTATATTTAGCAAAACCATGGGCAAGTTTGAAAACCAGGCATCATTAACATTCTCCTAGGAAAACCAGTAATGCCTGCCATAGTTGTCTACAAACGCCTCGTGGTACATCTAAACATCCAAATGATTCTGCTTGGGCCTGAAAACTGCCTGCGCAGCTAATACTGTAAACTCCTCAACCCACAATAACAAATTAAACACGCAGAGGGAAACGTATTTCCCCTCTCATTTTCCCCTCCTCCCCACTTTCTGGAATATAATGACCCAATTTTTCAGTCAAGCAAAATATAGTAATAGAAACTAACTGGAACATTATGAATGTTAACACAGTATTATCAATATGGCTTATGTGATATGACTGAACATTTTTATACTGACACTGCTTCATTTTATTAACCACCCTGCTATCATAAACACCATGGCTGGTGAATATTTGCATTTTAAGTGATTTTCTATTGGTAAAAAAATTTCATTCCTTAAAAAAATTTATAGGTTGTAATCTCTGAATACAGAGCTGGCAGAAGGCCTTGCCAAGAGCATATTCATTGCTTTGCATGCAACTAAAGCAACATAAATAACACATATTTTTCAGAGATATTGCTCACATGCAAAATTTGTATGTAAAATGCAATCCATCAATATTGCTTGTCACCAAACTAATGTTCAGAAACTGACAAGAATAAATGTGAGCTTTAAACAAAAAAGTGAACTAAGAGCCATCTACCGTATCTATTTGAATAGATTATGTCAGGGTATAAAAATACATTAAATACCTTTAACTACCAATTCTGCATAGTTTGATATCCCAACACCTCCTTCGGTGCGAATCATGCAGCGGTACTTTCCAGCGTCTCGTTTTGTTGTGTTCACAACATTAAATGAAGCGATGAATCTTCGGGAACTCGTCACCTTTATTTCCTTCAGGGGAGCGTCACGCACGTCAATGCCCTGTAGCAGTGGGGGTGGGGAAGAACAAAAAGAGTCGGAGTCAGCTAGTCACGTGATGGGGTATTACCAACACTATGTTCATGCAGATGTTGGTTCAGCTGTTCACTGCCCGTAGGCAGTTGTTTCTGCAGCACGCCTGGCCAGGAATAAGAAATTCTGCCATGGATCAATAAAGATTAAGGGATGTTAAGTGCACAGAAAGGTCTTGTGTTGGTCCCTTCAAGTTATTAATTAAATTCAATTACATTTAATTAGAGAGGGAAAAAGCATATGGTAAAATTATTCGTGATGCCCCAAAAGTATCAGGATTCAGCCATTTATTTTTCTTAGAAATTTATTTATATTTGGTATGGCAGATTTATAAAGAAATACAGACAGAAAGATCCTTCATCTGCTGGCTCACTCCCTAAGTAGCCACAACAGCTGGAGCTAAGCTGATCTGAAGCTAACAGCCAGGAGCCAACAGCCAGAATCTTCTTTCAGGTTTCCCACATGGGTACAAGGCTCCAACGCTTTGGGCCAGCCTCGACTGCTTTCCCAGGCCAAAAGCAGGGAACTGGATGGGAACTGAAACACCTGGACACAAATTGGTACTCATATGTGATCCCGGAATAGCAAGGTAAGGATTTACTAATTGAGTTATCATTCTAGTCCCAGCATTTGGTCATTTCGTAACACTTTCAAGCTCAATTAAGAAACAAATCTAATTCACTTGCTAACCTAATGACCTCATCTATATATATATATTTTTTTTTCAAAAACAAAAAGAGTAATTTTAAAATATACATCAGGAACCAGCATATTGTCTATTGAGTAGGCCTAGAGGACTAATCCTAGGTTGATGACTATTTTCTTCTACATACAGAAACCAAGTGGAATTAAAGGCTTGATAGTATGAGTTGATACCAAAATACTATCAAGCTGTCACTACACTCACAGTCCCAGAATGACATAAAGCAGGGTCCACTGCAGGGCACTTCTGTCTTATTGAGCTCATAAACTAATAAACCTTGGGGTTATAAACACTTGAAAAACTTGAGTAATGCTCAAGAGAAGCCCACCGTGATCAGGAAGGAAGTGATCTTCAACAGGTTGCATTAGCAGACAGCGACGGATACAACCTTCAAGGCTCCTGCCTGATGCCCAACACTATGCCAGCTACTCACCCAGAAACCACTCTTGGGATGCCAAGCATGTGCTTTCACTGCATCAAGACACCAAGTTCACAAAGAGTGAACCAGAGAAAAGTGTTGCTGCTCACAGAGTGATTCTCCTGACGGAGCGCCACTGGCTGGGACTGGACACATGAGTACAAATGGTGGCAGCAGGGACATCAAGGTGTCCGGAGGAGGCCTGATGTAAGTCAGTCGCAGATCTTCGGGCTGCGAGAGGCAGGTCTGAGAAACTGACTAGTGAACTGAGATGCAGGGCAAGGAGATGTCAACTCAGCACAGCAAGAAGGTGGGGACGAAGGAGACTCCAATCACAGGGAACAGCACAGGAAGGGCTGCAGCTTTTGAATGAATTTGAGGCAGCCAGTGGGACTGGGGCAGGTGGCTAGACTACTGTGTGTTCAAGGATTTACATTAAAACGTTTACATTTATAGCCACAGAATTGCTAGGCAAAAAGGAATAAAGCAACTCTGAACCACTGGTGATTTCTGTTACGTAAAGTACTCTAAAAGCTTTTATCTGTCATGTATACTTTTTCCAAATATCCTAACAGACAGTAGTTAGCTTAAGCATGTGATTGCTCATAGACATTCACAGAGCCTCACTTCCTTCCCCTGCAAAGAGGAGATGACAGGACCCGCTTTCCGTGGTGTTACCAGAAATAAGGACAGCTGCAAGAACACTTGCCTGTCTCACACAGCCCTACACAAGCTTAGGATCAACTTGTAAATTCAAGGAGAAAGGCAACAAAGCAATCAACAGAGGATCTTTAAGAAAACTGAGACTGCAGCATACAGCTCCGTGTGCGAGGACAATGGGCTTGCTGACATTGAAGCACGAAATTAAACAGACTCACCCTCCCAGTCACAGGCTGCACTAGAGAGCCACCAGGCCTCCCGCTTGCTGGGTCCTGCTGTGAAACTCACAGGAAGGCGGAACGGGTCCTCCAGACAGGAGGCTCCACACAGAAAGGGTGGGCAACGCATACTCAGGGCTTCCTCCCAGTCTCCTAAGCCTGAGCAGTGAGAAGCCAGTGCTACTCTAGCAGAATTCCTGCCACATGGAAGGAAACATCAGGTAAGGGGAAAGAAGAGTTCCACCAGCAATATCTTCAGTATCATTTGTAAAAACAGTCTTGTTTACAATATGCCAACTCATAAGTCAGAATATGAAATTCCACATGTGTCTTGCATGTGTGTGCTTTGCCAGATATCTTAAATAAGATTTCAGGGAAAGCATGAATAAAAGAAATTTAACTCATTATGCTGCATGCATTCAGTATCTAACACCCCTTCCCAAAAGTAACCAATCAGATTCTCCCAGCAGGAGTAACCTGAGACCTGCTACTCTATACAATTAAGTTTGTCTTTTTTCAAACTGAAAAAAGAGTCTATCCTGTGAGTTTTGTCAGAAAATAATGAAACGTTAAAGAAAAGCAGATGCCATATTTCAAAGAGTTTTTTCTTTTAATTAACAAAACCAACAGGAATGCCATGTTTAATAACATGAATCTTTTATTTAAGTTATTTTTTTAAAGATTTATTTTTTATTGGAAAGGTGGATATATAGAGAGGAGAGACAGAGAGGAAGATCTTCCATCCAATGATTCACTCCCCAGGTGGCTGCATCGGCTGGAGCTGAGCCAATCCGAAGCCAGGAGCCTCTTCGGGGTCTCCCATGCGGGTGCAGGGTCCCAAACCTTTGGACCATCCTCGACTGCCTTCCCAGGCCACAGGCAGGGAGCTGGATGGGAAGCGGGGCTGCCGGGATTAGAACCAGCACCCATGTGGGATCCCGGGCATGCAAGGCGAGGACTTTAACCACTTGCGCCACTGCGCTGAGCCCAAGAGTTATTTATTTTTATTACAAAGTCAGATATACAGAGAGGAGGAGAAACAGAGAGGAAGATCTTCCATCCGATGATTCACTCCCCAAGTGAGCACAACAGCCAGTGCTATGCCAATCCGAAGCTAGGAGCCATGAATTTCTTCCAGGTCTCCCACACGGGTAGAGGATCCTAAAGGTTGGCCTGTCCTCAACTGCTTTCCCAGGCCACAAGCAGGGAGCTGGATGGGAAGTGGAGCTGCCAGGATTAGAACCTGCACCCAGGCCCGGCGCAGTGGCGCAAGTGGTTAAGGTCCTCGCCTTGCACACCCCCGGGATCCCATATGGGCGCCGGTTCTATCCCGGCAGCCCTGCTTCCCTTCCAGCTCCCTGCCTGTGGCCTGGGAAGGCAGTCGAGGACGGCTCAAAGCTTTGGGACCCTGCACCCGCGTGGGAGACCCCGAAGAGGCTCCTGGCTTCGGATCGGCATAGCATCGGCCATTGCGCTCACTTGGGGAGTGAATCATCGGAGGGAAGATCTTCCTCTCTGTCTCTCCTCTCTGTATATCTGCCTTTCCAATAAAAAAAAATAATAATAGAACCCGCACCCATATGGGATACCAGCGTGTTCAAGGCAAGGACTTTAGCAGCTAGGCCACTGTCCTGGGCCCTAATAACATGGATCTTTCTGAAGACAGGTAGATCAACTAACTTGAAAAGCATATATGTAGAGAGAATATCTTCCTTTGGCTAATTTACTTCTCAACTGGCTGCAACAGTAGGGGCTGGCCGAGGCAAAAGCCAGGACTGGAGCTCTGCTGCCTCCCAAGTGCATTGGCAGGGAGCTGGACTGGAAGTGGAACAGCCAGAACTCAAACTGGTGCTGCAATGTGGGATGCTGGCATCACAAGCAGGGACTTCAATCCACTGTGTCACAATGTCGGTCCCAGAATGGGCAGCTTTTAAAATCACTGTTAACACAGAGAGTCAACTTCATTTTTATGAGAGACGTTACACAACGAGGAAAAACCAAGCTCTGCCTACTGTCCAGCTTAGGATCCACACATCATTACCAACGCACACATCTTGCTTCCAGCTGAAGGTCATTTTGCATTAATAATCCTCATGTACAGGTGTGTGTTCCAACCCTCACTGAACTGATATTCTTTGACTATGTTTTATGGGGTACACATTTTAACATACGTCACTGAACTAACCATCTGGACAGGTGAGAGCAATGATCACAATCCAGAGTGGTGAACAGCCTCCCTGTCTGCACAGAGGAAGTGGGGAATAACTGGGGCTGGTGTCTGCACAGGAGTCCCTGCAAGAACTCTGGGCAAGACAGGAAGAGTGCAGGCCAGAGAGTGGGAGGAGCTGTGCAAGAGTCAGCAGTCACTGGAGCACATGTGACTCCAGGACAAGTGTCAGCCAGTCCATGTGATTAATACAGAAACAACAGGGGAACAGGACAGGAAAAGAGGCGATCCAAGAAGCTCTCTATGGATCAGCCAAGGACTATGATAATATTGAGGACAACAGCTTCCCTAGAAGGAGTGGAAGGGCTATGGACAATCAGTGATAAAAAAGCCCAATAGTGTGAAAAGGACAATGGATGTCCTGAAATTTGTATTTATTAATTTTCAGAAACCATGGTAACAATTGGCAGAGGAATGACAGAGAAAGATTAAAAAGATATTTAGAAAAGAAAGTCAATGAAAAACATAAGATATACATAAGTGTGTGTATACATACATGCAACTTTTCTCTAGGAGATCACAGATTTCCAAGGTATGGGGTTGTGTATCATGCATTATAACAAAGTAGAACTCAATAAATATTTGCTGCTGACTGTAAGAAGCACAGCACAGTGGGAAAAGTGTCCCATTGCTAGAAAAGGAAAATGAGGTTCTGTAAAAATCACAAATATTTACTCCAAACCCTAAAACTCATGATAACAAATCTTTATTTTCAAAGGAGACCAACAGGGAAAAGGAAACTTC